ACGTGTGCTCTTCCGATCTAAACGTATAGATATTAATACAACTTAAGTTTCAGTAAGCATTAAAGATGCAACTGTCATTTCTATCATTGGTTCTTGCCACAATCTTTGTCATGGCGATCATATACGCACCCGTGGAAGCAAATGCCGTCGCCGATGCTGATCCATTATCGAGCGGTGGATTAGCTGACGGGGTAATTATTAGTCATTCTATTATTAAAGCTTATTCTATAGTAGGGTTTTTTCTTTTACATATAAACGGAATAACTTTTTTTTAGGACGTAGCTTAGAACGTAGTAGTTTAGAACGTAGGGGCAGATGTATTAGGCATTTTGGTAAGTATTATAATATAAATAGAAAATACGAACTAAGATTTGTTATCATATCGTACTAACTCTTCAAAAGTGACACAAATTAAAAAAATTAAATTTCTTATACTTTTCATGATTTATAACGTAATGTTTGTTTAATTCTCGCATGGAAATAATGCGAAAATCACGAATTGTTGTGTCATTTTAGAAGCAAGAAAGCAATAAATTAATAAAAACGTATCTTGTATTTAAGCAAAAGAAGTAGTTGCATTTTTCGTGGAATAAAGATGAACATTCGGATAAAACTTACAACGAAAAAATGGGAAAATGATTGCAATAAAAATGTGACTTTACAACGTATAATACGCATGTAAATATTATAATTTATATTTTCAAACAAAAAATTATATCTGTATGTTTCTGTTATATTCGTTTGATTTATTATAATATTGTAAACAACAAGCATGCATAATTGGCATATTGTGTTTTATTCATATAAGTTTAATGACATTGTATTCTTATTATAATTTGTGATCTTCTACGTTGGATTTGGGGAATAAAAATAGTATTTAGACAACATCTATTCTCGGCCGTCTTTGGCGAATTTCCTTTTATTTATTGTATATACATAGCGACCTTATTAAAATTATTATTATGACATATTCATCTTAAAATGCGCTCTTTTTATAAATAGTGCGAATATTACTACAATCTTAGTGATTGATTGAGTAAGACACCCGCCTCGTATAGGATTGGAAGGTTCCGTGTTTAAATATTAGCCGATTTAATATTCTTCACAATAAGATTTTGCTGAGTTTAGGATGCTTGCAGCATTATCATTGAATTGACGATTATTTTAATTTGTGGTAGCACTTATGCTTTAAATTATAATTGGGTTAAAAACCGACAATCAGCGATAATCGACGAGCAATTTACAGTAGTTGAAATTAAAAATAAGAAAATATTGTTATTAGACACCAACATCTAGCCTCAGCCATTTTTGGCGATTTCTCTTTATTGTTGTATATTTGTGGTATATACACAGCGGCCTTATCAATATTATTTAAAATTTGAGGGCCAGTTGTGACTCAGTGTCAAAATTGCTGTCTGAAAAGAAGCAAAATGCAATATTTAATATCAAGGATCCGGACCAGATCGAAACCGTTATTTTAGTCGAACCAAAACTGAAAACTGAACCAAAATATTAAGCAAGTATTGATTTTTTTTTTATTCTAAAAGCCATTATAATTGGAAAATTATAATCCCTCGTACAAAGCCTTCGTAAGTCGAATTTTCATATGTTAACCCTCTTTTACTCGAATTTTGATAAGTCGAAAACTCTATAACTCCAGTAAGAGAGATAAAACAGTTTTTCTGGTCCCTTGAGATTCGAGTTGTCAAGGTTCGACTGTACTTAGCTTTTATAAATTTTACAATAAGTAATTATATACCCATAACCGTAACCCGAAAAGATAAAAATCCAAACTGTTATAGTCACCGCGGTATCGGTAAAAGAACTGAAACCAAAACCGAAAGTTGGGTATAACCTCGGACTGTAAGTATTGTAATCATAACCGGACTGAAATTTTATGTTTCGGTTCGTGTCCCTGTTTAATATACACCTACCAAAACTCTTTTTAAAAAAAAGAAAAAGATTACGCCATGTGTACATAAAAGTATCGTACGTTACATCTTTCCTAAATCAAAAATATTATTTTAACAAATAAAAATTATCCAAAAACAAATATGAGATCATACAAGTTGCCGAGTATTTGAATAGACATAGAAACAAAAATATTTCTTAAATAAACCGTTCAATCATCCAAAAGTACATGCAACAAAAGTTTAATGTCATTGTATTTCCAAATATTTTTAAGTTTTATAAAACAGCCTTAAAAGTGACTAAAATGACCAATAGAATCACAGTAAAGCAAAAACTTGGCGTACCCGCATTTTATATACATCTTATCAATTAAATATTAATGCGATCCGGACACGCCAAATTTTTGCTTCATTGTGATCCCATTTGTCATTTTAGTCACTTTAAGCCTGTTTTATGAAACTTAAAAATATTTGAAAAGACAATGGATTAAACTTTTGAAGCACGTACTTTTAGATAATTAAACGGTTTATTAAAAAAATATTTTTGTTCCTATGTCTAATCAAATACTTGGCAACTTGTATGATCTCATATTTGTTTTTGGACAATTTTTATTTGTTAAAATAATATTTTTGGTTTAAAAAAGATGTAACGTCCCATACTTTTTTATATATACTTGGTGTAATCTTTTTCTTTTTTTTTTAAAGAGTTTTGGTAGGATATTTATTTCTACACTATATGTATATTATTAGTTATAATATTAATTTAATAATAATCTTGATATTCACTGCTTAATTACTAATTTACACAATTTATGTTTTTAATATAAATAATATTGTAATATGGTACAACCACACCATATTTAAAAAAATTACTAATTATTACTCTCTTATTATATAATATCACGCAATTTATTTTCTACGATATTATGCGATTTGTTGAAAAATTTTACATTGCACAAAGCCTGAGCATCTAA